CTAGTTCTTTTCATCAGTATTGGCCTAACCAGATCTGCAACGCTATAATGTTTCTTGTATACCTCATGTTCAAGCAAGGACCAAAACATTGAAGCGAACAGGAAAAGGAGAGAAAGGAGACCTGTGGATCGGATCTGTCGCCTCTACCATGGCACATGATGGACACGGACGCCAATGCCGTGCGCTCCATCGGGAAGACCCACCGCGGCCGCCACCGTCGCCGCAAGTCCAATGGGCACATATTTGTTTTCACTTGCAGGGGATACATCCAATATATAAGTCAACCTGTCCACACAAAGAACATATAGTACTATTAGGACTCCAAAGACATGTCAACACAAGCAGGCGTCTAGCGCAATGGTGAAGATGGTCTATTCCTTGACCTAGGTACCGGGTTCGACTCCTAGGTCTCATGGTTTTTTTAGTTTGAATTTATTAAACCCCGGCGGCAACAAGTGGCACGCAAGCTGTCGGGTCCCACAGGTTGGATGGAGATGGAAAAAGGTCCCATAGGCACACGTGACACGTGAGCCATCGGGTCCCACAGGTCGGATGGTCCCATAGGTACTCATGACATGCAAGCCGTCGAGTCCCATAGGTCGGATGCTAAAGGGTCCCATAGGTACACGTCAGACGGAGAAAGGACCGAGCGGAGACTTTTATGACGAATTGCAAGCGTCACGGATGAGTAACTACAGGTCACACAGGTACACGTTGGATGGAGAAGAGTCCCATAGGTACACGTCACATGGAGAAAGGATCGAGCGAAGACTTTTATGACGAATTACAAGTGTCATGGATGAGTAACTGTAGGTCCCACAGGTACACGTCGGATGGAGAAAGTATAGTGTGGAGATCTATGAAGAAGCCATTCGTTACAGATCAAATATTGTTCGTCATAGATGTGTAACTAGTTCAATGACAAAGCCCTGTTCGTTATAGGTTTAAACAAGATCGTCACAAATGAGTCGCGCGAGTGATCTGTGACGAAACCCTGTGCTCTTCTATGATGTTTTTTTGTGACGATGTCTGATTTTGTCATGGAAAAGGAGGGTTGTAGGATCGTCACCACTGATCTATGATGAAACAGAAATATTCGTCATAAAAAGCGATCTTCTATGACGATTTTGGATTCGTCATTAAGATTTTCGTCATAGAAGTGGATATTTCTAGTAGTGAGAGCTTGCTACACAACTATATATCAATGTAAATACAAGAGAGTGAGTAGGGTGATTATACCGCCGTGGCAATAGAGATGAACCAATCACAATATGAATACCAAGTGAATCACCGGAAGAATGCCAATCACAACAGACACAAGATTTTTCTCCCAAGGTTCACGTGCTTGCCGGCACGCTAGTCCCCGTTGTGTCGACCAACACTTGGTGGTTCAGCGGCTAATAGGTGTTTCACAAACCTAGCCCAACAAATGGACACCGCAAGAACCTACCCACAAGTGAGGTAACTCAATGACACGAGCAATTTACTAGAGTGGCTTTTGGCACTTCGCCGGGGAATAAGCCCAAGAACCCCTCACAAATATAATCCTTGATTGGGGGCGGACACAATCACCAAATCCCCTCACCAATTAACAAATTACCAACCATCTAGGTGATGGCAATCACCAAGAGTAATAAGAAATCCACAATCACAATCACCAGCTAGTGCCACCAAATATGCAATCACAAATGCACACACTAGGGTTTCCCCTAAATCCTCTCACGAATGAGCACCAAGCTTGGAGAAGGAGAGGAGAGGGAGGAAATGCTCTTGAAGCTCTCAAGATCAATCACTAGAGCTCGATCTCTCTCACTTAAATGGAGCACAAATGCTTGGGAGTGAGAGAGGAGGAGAGGAGAGCTTGTTCTCTATTTTTGGATCTCAAGTTGCCAGGAAGGAGAAGGAGCCAGAGAGAGAGAAAGGAAGGGATGCGTCTAGAGACCATGATGCCGATCTGAGATCATACATATGTTCTGAGATGAACGGATGACATTCTGTCTCACAAGCTTCATGAACCAACACTAGCTGTTGTCGTTCTCACCCTCAGCCAAAGTGAATGCTAAAGGGACAAGTTGATTGTCCTGGTCCACTCCAACGGCAATCATTTGGTTTTGACAGTCACAACATGAACAATATATATCCTTTGTCTACTTAATCAACGTGCGCCTTTTGGCGGCTTCAATAAATTTGCTCACATCTTCGATAAAAAGAGATATCATGCCTTTCTTTCATTTATATCCATGACTTGTCCATCAATGGGTCTTAAGCAAAACATGTAATTGTATTCCCATTTAAAGTCACAAGTTGAATTGCAAAATTATTAATTAGAGATCTATATCTATATATGTTGATCTAGATGTAAATTTACAAACACTTTACTTTCGTTCAACAAAAAACACCTATCTTTCTCTCTCTCTCTCTCTCTCTCTCTCTCTCTCCCCATTTATAATCATGCCTCTGTATAGATGGAAACCATAATTAAGCAAAGAAATGTATGAGTGAACTTTAAAAGGACATTAGTTATGACATCATATTACCTCTTAAATCCAACTCCTTCAAAAGATTCTAAAGGCAAAAGCTTCCCATCTGTTTTTTTGCAACTTTTTCGCCTTCAAGTGAGCTAGTGATATGTATAGTGTCGTGAGGGAGAAAAGGGCTTTATACGGTGTATTTTTCAAGGGCAATTCAGTAACTGCCACTGTAAATTATTTTTCAAGAACGGTTCTTTTAGTAGCATCACCCAAAGCTATGTCCTATTTCTAGGAGTGGTTCTCTTAAGAGAATCGCCCGTGAAAATGGATATATCTCTAGGGCCAGTTTACTTAAAAAACCGCTCCTGTAAATGAATTCATAGGGGATGGTTCGTTAGCTACAACACTGCACATTCTAGTTAGAGGCGGTTTCCTAAAACCACCGTCTATAAAAAGACTTAAAGACAACTTTAAAAATTATTTTTGTAGTAGTGGCGGGCTCTAAGAGACACGGGCCCACATGTCAGTGGCCACGTCACATGAATTAAAGCCAGAGGATCTGGTTCTCCTATTCAATATGCATGCCGGCCATGCCCTAGAAACATTGAGTGGATGCACACAGCTATATGTTGATTTGTCCACACTCAAATTTTTTTTTGTCAAATGCAGTCGTTTGCACTTCCTAATCCTGTTTTCCTACATATGCAATTACCGTGTTGACATTCATTCATTGAAAAATTCCTTTATCAAAACTATGAAGTTTTAGTTTTAAAACAATATATTTGAAGCTTGCAAATCTTGTATAGTCTTTGCATTATAATATGGTCTCGGCGCCACAATTCACCCGAGGATATTGTCGTTGTATTATTGTACAGCTGTCGGCCATTTGGTCTAAAGTTGACATTGTTTTCACAACGTTGTCTGTGGAAATGCAGTGTACAGGGCGCATCTTCTTCTTTCTTGTACATAGTCAACCGCTACTGGCCGATATTTCTTGTGCTCGTCTCATCTCTTCCTGTTTATTATTGGTTGTTGTGGTTAGAACCTATGCTACCTGTTGCATCAACTAACCGCACCAAATTAAAAGCGTTTCCGTGCAGCAAAGACAGAGAGGAAAAACAAGAAAAGGTCAAAAAGTAGGGTGACTAGTTTGTAGTAGTACCTCGATCTAATAAGCAAACTGTTAATTTATAGAATAATTAAAATTTGCATGGGATTTGATCAAACCATCACGCGTGATCATAAGTAATGACGGAGGTACATGTATATAGCTAGAGCCGACATCTCGACTTTCTTCTATGAAATGATACAATAATCATGAAGATCACCAAACCTCTTGACTAAGTGCGAGCTACAAAGGTAAAGGAAAGGTACATAAATTATAAAGAATTTGTTGACATCGTCCTCCTGCAGGCTCATATATACGTCTCCAATTTGTTTTGTCCCGGTCATTCCCTATCGATCGACCTCGTCAATGTTACGTGTTCATCCCTGAACTTGCACTTTGTCAGAGGATTTTCTAAAAGAATTCTTCACACATCGTTTTCTCTTAACAACTCTGCTTTTGCATATGATTATGATAGCTGCTCCTGCTACGGTGCTACCAAGTCTCTGGGTAACATTAGGTAGATGGTGACACATATGCTTACGCTGTCGGCTCTCTTACCAGTTCTTCCACAGTTACGTTGATTGAGCACAAATATGCCCTACCCAAAGTGAAGTTTCCTCCAAAATGGATTCATGGTTCACCGTCTATATATGGCTCCTCCTCGAGTTGGGCGAGACAGTGACATACCAACACGTCGACTAAATCACGGTTTGCATTTGAAATTTGCGTGCATGTGTGCAGGGATGCAAGCAGGCCTATCTACAAGCCCGCAAATAAGCTTAATTTTTGCGGGTTCCGTGAGAACCCTAAAAAAATCTAATTTGGGTTCATGGACAGGCCCGCTTGCATTCTTACTCTAAACGAATAATTTGGGAAGTGAAAGAAATCATTTCGAACGAACACTACGTGAAAAAAGATTTGTAGGGACGCGGCCCTTTTCATTGTAAGGGCGGCTGGCTCTTTAGCCGCCCCTACAGTGGCGCTGCCAGGCCACACCCTGTGCGCTGGACACCAGCCGCCCCTACAAATGGCACAGTAGGGGCGGCTGGTGTCTCCAGCCGCTCCTACAAATGGGGGTCATTTGTAGGGGCGACTGATGATTGAGTCGCCCCTACAGTTGGATTTTTAGGGGCGGCTCAATCACCAGCCGCCCCTACAGTTGGATTTTTAGGGGCGGCTCAATCGGACGACGGGGACGGAGTCTGAATCACACGGGATCTCCCCAACGAGGAAGGCGGTCAGCCCAGCCCTCCTCTCCTTACGCCCACGCGCTCGCCTCTCTCCTCCTCCCTGTGTTCCGCCTCTCGCGCTCGCCTCTCGAGGACCCTCGCCATCCTCCCCAGCGTGCGACACCAAACCCCCAGCGGCGGCGCTAGGGTTTCCCTCTCCGCGCGTCAGCACCGCCACCTCCGCCTGCGGCGATGGCGGGGCAGGAGCGTAGGACAATCGATCTGGAGGAGGGATGGGCCTTCATGCAGAAGGGCATCACCAAGCTGAAGAACATCCTCGAGGGCAAGCCCAAGCCGCAGTTCAGCTCCGAGGACTACATGATGCTCTACACGTGCGCCTCCCTCTCCCCTCCCTCTTCCTCCTCGCAGCCGCCGCCGTCTCCTTCGCGGCGGCGGCCGCTTGGGTTTCCCACCTCGATCCGCTTCGATCCGGTTCTGATCTAGGGTTTTGGTCCCCTTGTCGCAGGACTATATACAACATGTGCACGCAGAAGCCGCCACACGACTACTCGCAGCAGCTCTACGACAAGTATCGGGAGTCGTTCGAGGAGTACATCACCTCCATGGTGAGCTGCCTGTTCATATCAATCTTGCTCATGTGAATGTCTGTATTCGACCTAGATTGTTTTGTATCTGCGGCGTGGTATTAGCGTTAGATTTCCTACTTTGAGAGGAATAAGGCAGTTTGGATGGTTTTTTTAGCTTTGGTGGATTAGCGCTTGGTTGGTTGGGGATGTTCTCGTTTCCTTTTGGTTTTCTGCTAAATAATACATTGCTTGCCGATGAATGGTCAGGTTCATTCACTCTGTAGATAGACATTCTTTCTGGGAAAATGAGAGTTGTTTGTCATAGATGGTCGAACCCTTATAATATGTGGAATTGTGCTGATCTATTTGATTGTACTTTGTAAATGAACTAATCAAAACTTTTTTATGCTACAACTATTGCAGTGGTAGCGCTCTCTTCCCCTTCTTTTGTCCATCTCTTGATTTGTACAGGATAATTCAATCTCTTTAAAATGATTGTAACCATCCTGATTAGGTGAAACAATTGGTCCAGCTACTTTATGTGCCTTTGTAACAATTATGTGCCCATTTACTTGTTCACTTGGACCTGGTGTTCTGTTGGCTCCAGTAGATTCATTAGATGTCTTGTGATATCACTGTTGGCTCCAGTAGTTTCTGTTATGGGCTTATCAAGGGTAGACAGCAAACCAGGATTATTCTGCAGATAGACCTTTTTTTGGGGAAAATGAAGTTGTTTGTCGTAGATGGTCAATCCTTACAATAATATATAGAATGGTCCTCATCTGTTTGATTGTAATTTGTAAATGGAAGTAATTAAAACTTTTTTTATTATGCTGCAAATATTGCAGTGGTAGCTTTCTCTTCCCCTTTTGTCCATCTCTTGATTTCTACAGGATAAGTTAATCTCTTAGTTTAAATTGTAAGCATCTTGATTTGGTGAAACAACTGGCCCACCTACTTGACAAACAATTCTGTGCCCATTCTTTGTACACTGCAGCTCATTTCTTATAGATCATGTAGAGAATAACTTTTTGTATTCTTGCAGCACCTTTTAATGGACAGGAATTAAACACTAATCGATGCTATCTATGGCAGGAAGATAAATAATGGTTTGCATAATTGAGTACACATGGATGCTAGTTTCAGTTTGCAGGAGTTTTTCTGTAGCTTGCTAATTTATTGTTTGATGAGCATCTTTTATGACTAGAGACTAGAGATTTAACATGAGTCATGTCCTGATTTTGTATGATGCTTTAATCTAACTATAATACTATCCTTTTCCCTGTATTTGTACATTCACTTCTGAGAGCTCTCACTAAATTTTAATTTCATGCAGGTACTACCTTCTTTAAGGGAGAAACATAATGAATTTATGCTAAGGGAGCTAGTGCAAAGGTGGTCAAACCATAAAGTCATGGTTCGCTGGCTTTCGCGTTTCTTTCATTACCTTGACCGGTACTTCATATCAAGGAGGTCACTTACCCCTCTTAAAGAAGTTGGCCTTACTTGCTTCCGAGAGTTGGTAAAACAACAGTTACTTATTTCCAGCTTCTTTTTCACTCATGCTTTTTCAACGCTTATGCCCTAATCAGTTTAACTGTGGTAACAGATCTATCAAGAGATCAAAGGACAAGTTAAAGATGCAGTGATAGCTCTGGTGAGACCTTGCATCTCTTTGTGAGTTAATTGTAGTAAAATGGTTGGTTAACATATACTAGCTCCATTCTTTATTTGCTTGATGTTTGGACATTAATATGATCTCCAACATATGTTTTTGACCATATTTTTTTTCTAAGCTATACATGTTGGAATGTATTGAAATATAGTAAGGACCAAACAAACTGATATTCTCTCTTCCATGTGGGGAATCTTAAAACTTTTGTGCTCATTAGTGGCCAATTGTCTGATTGCATACATCCCTAAGCTTCAGCTATTTGAGATTTGTTATTTTTTCTTTTAACAGATAGACAAAGAACGTGAGGGTGGACAGATTGACCGGGCTCTGTTGAAGAATGTCTTGGATATTTTTGTTGAAATCGGGTTGGGTCAAATGGAGTGTTATGAGAATGACTTTGAAGATTTCTTGCTCAAGGATACTACAGAGTACTACTCTGTCAAGGCTCAAAGCTGGATTCTTGAGGACTCATGCCTAGATCAGACTTTGGAACGGTTTGGACTTTGTTTTGCTTGTGAATTTCTTAATGGAATATGTTATAATGATGGACTTCGTAATGGACTATGTTGTAATGATGGATTTTTGTGAATTATGACTTGTGATGATGTTCTAAATAATGGTCTTGTGTTTGTGGATGTATATATGTATATTTGTGGCGGTCAGATTCGAATTTGAATTATATATATATATATATATATATATATATATATATATGGTCAGATTTGAATTTAAATTATTATTTTTTTGCTGAAAAATCCACTGTAGGGGCGGTTCTTGATTGAACCGCCCGTACAAATACACACAGCAGGGGCGGCTGGTGATACAGCCGCCCTTACAGATGTCCACTACAGGGGCGGCTGATATTACCAGCCGCCCTTACAGAGGTCACTGTAGGGGCTGCTGAAAACACCAGCCGCCTCTACAGAGGGCACTGCAGGGGCGGTCAGGAAACCGCCCCTATAGAGACACCCTCTGTAGAAACACCCTGTGAAGGGCGGCTGGCGCAACCGTCCCTACAGAGGCTCTAGAGCCGCCCCTACAGTTAACTTCTGTAGTAGTGGAATGAACTATTCATGTGATAAATCTTTGAGTTAACTTAATACTTTTATGAGAAATAAATAAACTGATAAGTCGAAGTTGGAGATTATCCTCTTCTTGCAGGAGAGCCTACGGGAAAAGTGGTGCTAAATTGCTCCCTTTGTCCATTTCACGTGGAACCCAAACAAAATATTTTTCCTTGCTTTTGGGAATTTGATGCGTGTGGCGATGTTTTGCAGCTGTTGTTAATTAGGAGTAGTTTTAACGATGATGCATGGAAGGAGGGTCTAGCAGACATTAGGGAATGCGAAGATTGGGTCTTATTTGTTGACTGGGTGCACAGACACAATACATCCATGACATGCACACGCCACCCTCCAACTGCCAACTGGACATCATCATGCCATGCAAGCTACCTCCCCTGTATAAATAGAGACCCAGCAGCGGCGCCATTCTTCATCTCCTCATCAGCCACAATTCTCAGCGATCGCCACGGACCTCAACCTCAGCTCCAACGACTATAGCAAACTTGCAGAGAGATAGGAAAGGACTGCAGTTGATCATGGGGTCGACATGGCTGGCAACAGTCTTGGCGGCGCTCGTCGTCGCCTCGGTGGCACACGCGGCGGAACTGGAGGTCGGTTTCTACAAGCACTCGTGCCCACAGGCCGAGGAGATCGTGCGCAACGCCGTCCGCCGCGGTATCACCCGTGAGCCTGGCGTCGGCACTGGACTCATCCGGATGCACTTCCACGACTGCTTCGTCCGGGGCTACGACGGCTCCATCCTCATCAACTCCACGCCGGGCAACAAGGCCGAGAAGGACTCCGTCACCAACAACCCCAGCCCCGACTGACGACGTCGCTGAGCTCATTGAGGGCTTCAAGCGCAAGGGCCTCAACGCCGACGACATGGTCACCCTCTCCGGCGTGCACACCATCGGCTGCTCCCACTGCTCCTCCTTTATGTGGCGCCTCTACAACTTCAGCGGCCAGCTGGGGCAGACGGACCCGTCGCTCGACCCAGCCTACGCTGAGCACCTCAAGATCCGCTGCCCATGGCCGTCCAGCGACGCCCAGATGGACACCACGGTGGTGTTAGAATATTAGGCAATTTTAGTAGCAATTTAATCCAGAAAAAGACATAAAGCAATATGAACATGTTGGTGACATTATATATGTGCTTGTGTGTCTCAAACGTGACGAGCATATAGATGATACTCAAACTAAGGATTGACAGCCAAGACCTTAAGAGGTTCGTTCCAGAGACATACCCAGCGGCAGAGCCGGATGCACTCGAAGACATAGTGCCTGTCGATGTAGTCGTCCCGCTCGATGCAGTGCAGATGAGAAGCCATGCCGATCACCAGCGATCCTCCAGGAAGTAGAGGACAGCGAGTAGTCGTGCCACCAGCGACACTCCCCAAAAACATGATTGCCGCCCCTTCACCCGAGCAGGCGAACTCGAAGACGTCATGCGTTCCGGAGGACTACTCTCCCAGCTCTAGTGCGCGCAGGAACCGGGACGGGGAAAACCAGAGAGTAGCTAAATATGTGATTGTCCAGGAAGCGAAGAAGATGACTGACAGAGGAGCCAAGATTATATGCTCACGGTCAGGGAGGCGATGGGGCGCAACCAGCACAAAAGAGAGTAACTCCCGTAATTATGTGGACTAAGTGGCAAAGAAGATGACTGACGGAGGAGCCAAGATTATATGCTCGCGGTCAGGGAGGCGATGGGGCGCAACCAGCATAAAAGAGAGTAACTCCCGTAATTACGTGGATTGAGTGGCAAAACCACTCCCGTCCTGTCCGTCCGCTCGCCCGCCGCCTACCTCGCCACGCCCATGGCCCGATGAAAGGTCCTTGTTTGGTTTTGGTAACTGAGTGACAACCTTAGATGGACTAATGGGGTTTATGTGAGATACACATGTGATTAGTCCATAGGTACATGTGTGTGAGCAACATATGTAACACCCCTAGTGTTAAGCGTGCATCAACATTTTATTTCATGAGCATAATCATCATCACATTATGCATAAGCATCACCTATGCATTTCATTCCAAAAGAAATGAAGTATCATTTCATGTGGTGCTTAAATTAATTGAAATTCATCATGTTTAAAATAATGTGAAATGCCATTCTCATGTTTGTATGCCATGGTTGTCTTTGTTTGGTCACTGAACTAACTTAGAAATGTTTAGGGTGCAAAATGAGGTCATGTTCATGTTAAGTACTTTGCTTAATTAAGTCATTAAGTCATAGTTGACCTAGGTAGGCCCTAGAGTAGTTTTGTTTGACCTGGCATAAAAGTTTTGGTACAGTACTTTTCTACTAGTGGGCCCCTAAGGAAAAGTGTAGATAATTTTGTAAGGAACAAAAGTTATTTTTGGGTCAACTCATGAAAATGCCTTGAACATGTTCAAATTTTGCTCCAAAGTCATAATGAAGGTTGGTTTGGAAAAGTTCTCAAATTTCCCTAAGTCATTTTCATAATAATGCTCTTTGAAAATTTGTAATTCGAAAACTAGGCAAAATTAGAATATGACTCCTTAATAAGAAATGTTCTTCTCTTCAAAATCTACAACTTTGATTTTTGGATCAAATCTTGAAAATGCTTCTAAAATGCTTTAAAATGAGGTTTAGTGCTGTTTTTGAATTTTGGAAAATAGAAATTAAAAAAAGGAGAAGAAAGCGCCCCGCCTCAGCTTTGGCCCAGCAGTGAAGTCGGCCCGGCCCACGTTCACGCGTGAGCGCCGCGCGCGCGTCCTGCCTCGCCCCGGCCGACGCCCGCAGCGTGGCGGCCGGTCACCGGCGGTGATGGGCGGCGACCACGCTCCGACCGGCCTCGCCTGGCCATTATGGCCCAACCGAGACACACACGCCACTCCACCCCTCCACTCCATCCTATCCCCCTTCCTCTTCTCGCCTCGCCCGCGCCCACAGCAGTAGCGCAGCTGCAGCAGAGCAGCCCGCTGCCGCTGCTCCGCCGGCGAAATACGCCGCCGCTGCTCCACCTTACCTCACGCGCGCACGCACATCGCCCCGCCTCGCCTTCCTCTACCTCGTCGTCCAGCTCGTGGTCGCCTTCGTGCTTGGGTAAGGGCCAATGCGACCATTTCTTCTAGGCCGCCGCTCGCTGGAGCGCCCCAGCGCTTGCGCTCGCCGCGGGTAGCGCCGCTCCGCCTCCCTTTCCCTTCTCTTTCGCGTCCACCGGAGTCGCCTTGGTGCGAGGATGCTCACGCGCCCCTCACCTAGCCTCGTCATGGCCGGAGACGGCCAGCCGCCGGTGAGTCGCGCCGTCATCCCGCCATGGCCGCCGTCGAGCACGCTCGCCTGCGTCCGCGCCGTCGTCTTCTAGCCTAGCCAGTGCGGCTTGTCGAGGGGAACCTCGTGGAGGTGACTGTGTCACCGGAGACCTCGCCGACGGCGAGCTCTCGCCGGTCAACGGCAGCCTCTGCCCGGCAGCGACTGATGAGTGGGGCCACTTGACCAGTGGGTCCCGGCCACCAGTGAGCTTGGGTGCACTGCACCGGGTGCACCCAGCGTTTATAGTTCGTTTGAATTTCAAAAATGATTTCTAGAAAATCGGTTTAATGCTTCCAAAAATCATAACTCAAGTTATAGGTGTCCGAAACAAATTTTGTTGTGTTTGTCTTGAGTAGATCTACAGTTTAAAATGTGAAATGTCATTTTTGTGATACTGTTCTGTGGATCTTTATTTAATTTGTTAATTGCTTGATAACTTGGAAAATGCATAAGTAATTATAGAACGGTCAGACAAATATGGGTCCAATTTTGTTAGTCTTCTTATGTTGTGTAGATTCTATGAAAAATATATGTCATGCATGTACTGTGTAAGAATATGGCTAAGTGAATTAAGTGGATGAAATGTTAATTTCTTGTAAAAACTTCTAGGGCCAAAATATGTGAAACATGTGCATGTGAAATATTTTCTATAGTGTTCCTATGATGTGTAGACTATGGGAAAAATGTGAAATCTATTGTTTGATACTTTTCATAGTAGAAAGTATTTTCATGTACATGATTGCCATGCTTTTTGCCTTTTTGGTATAGGATTATATACTTATCAAATTGACTTGAAATTTTTATGGTAGGCTCTAGTAGTCATGGGTAAGCCACTGTAATTTTCTCAGAATTTTTAGAGACTTAAAAAGTATTAACCCTGTTATGCTCTTTATTTATTAAGTGATAAATAAGGTTTAAAATGATTTTATATTGAATATACAAGTTGCTTGTCGATGCTTTTGATATAAGTGTAATCTGCTGGTATGTTTGGTTTGGCTCAAATGGGAGTTAGGTATAGGTGTCATGTATGAGTGTAAATGGTTAATACACTAGAGAGGAGATTTGCACCTACTCGGTCAAATGAAACGAAATTACTAATCATTCATGAGTTCATGTTTATTCATGTGCAAGCATCCATCTTACCTACGCATATGCATTCATACAGGATTGTTGGCGGAACTGACACCCGTGGAGTATGGAGTTCCCGAGGAGGCCATGCAGCAGGAGGTGCCATCTTAGGG